CCAACTCGTGTGTTGCTTTTCCCTTAAAAACATGATAGAGGGACTGTCACATATCAGGGTCACCAAGCTAGTCATTGGCAGGCTTGTTGAGTCCCCAGTATCATCCGTTTCAGAACAGTGTCCGGATGGCCCCTGCGCTCCTGGCCGAGGAATCCCGCCCTGCGTCCCTGAGAGTCGAGCTGACAGGGCAGGGGTGGCTTTCAGATGGCGACCGCGGCCTCCGAGGACCTGGGGGTGGACCTTTGTCTCCGCTGTCTCTCTGAACACCTCGGTTTCCTTCGCGTTCTGTGGAATGAAATGTATTCCTATCTAAAAAGGCCGCTGAGAGGATCAGGCGAGGCGATGTACCTGAAGGAACCTCTCCCGGCGCCTGGAAGGTGGGTCCCCACCAGGTGGGCGGGAACTAGGTCTCATTTCACTGAGACGCAGTCCGCCTGTCACGTGCAGGCTCAGCGGACGCTGCGGCGCCCTTGGGCCACTTCTCCCGCGGCAGGTGACTCTTCCGCTTTAGCCACAGGTCGTCTGTCCCTCGGCCCAGGCTGTCCATTCTCATTAAGGGAGGCCCTGGCGTGCCTTTTCATCCTCCTGTCCCCATGTTCCCTCCTCCCTCTGTCCAGAAACCGCAGAAGTAAAATGCAGAAGCTGCTACTTGCAGCAGGCAGAGCTCTCCTCTCTCAGGCTCTCCCTGGCCGGGGCCCTCCCCATGCTCTGCCTTCTGAACCCTGCCCCATACCCGCTCCTTCATCAGCCACTGTGGCTGGACTCTTTGATAAGATCATTTCGATCCAGTAGATTCCCACTGAGCAATTACTCTGTGCAGCATACAGTCAGGCCTGTGACTGGACTTCTCTTTGAATAAGACATTTACTGTATCAGCCTCACATTGTCTATTATATAAGGTCAGAAACTTTTACTTTTTCTTCCCCCTTGTAAATTCCTTCTCGCTTCTTACATCAGACCTATTCTCCAACCCAGCAGGGGAGTGGAATGCATGATATATACAGAGACCCCCTGAGTCTAGTTGGGCAAACACACACATGCAGGAATGAAATAACGGAGGCAAAAGTGGTTTATGTCCATAAAAAATACTTAGAGACTTAATGGAGTAGCTTCAACACTTGATTTGATCCACCAGTGTTTGGTACTTGTCTGCTGTAGGGCAGAAATTGTCCTGAAAACGGTGTGCAAGACTGGTGAGATTTGGCCTTGCTCCTGAGATCACAGTCATGTTAGGGAGACAAGCTTGTCTCAAGTGATTAATGTAAATCGGGATAAGTGGAGTGAAAGAGGACATACATGTAGCCAGCCCAGCCTGACACAGCCCAGGGAAGGCCCTGCCAAGGAGGGAATGCTTAGGCGGGGTCTTAAAGGGTGACTAGGAGTTCGGAGAGTAGCTAAGGAAGCAATGAAGATTCTGGTAAGAGGCAGAGCAGCATGGGCAAAGAATCGGGCTGAGGCACGAAAAAGCATGGAGGCTTCAGAGGCGTACAAGACTTTCCCTTTTCCTAGTAGAGAGAGCAGTCAGCAGTGACAAGAGACAGTCCGGAGAAGTGAGCTGGTGTGTGGATGGCTAAAACCAGTGTATGGATGCGCCGCAGGTTGTCCAGGGAAGTATGTGGAGTGAGAAGAGAACCAAACCTGAACCCTGGCAAACAGCGGCTTTACAAGGTTAGAGGAGGAGCCGGGAAGCACCGTCTGCCAGGAGGAAGGAGGAGCAGGCCAGGGGAGGGGGGCCTGCGGGTGTGGTCAGCTGGGCAGGCCCTCATGCCCTGGAGAGACAGGAAGCTCAGACCAGGAAGTCCGCGGTGGGCAGGGCAGCCAAGGAGCCAGGCATCTGGATTTCCCTTGTGTATATACTTCTCTTTAAGTCCCGTGTGCCAGAGAATTTCCCCAAAACTGTTCATTTAGGGGGTTGCAGCAGATCATTTTGAGAGGAACTGGTGAGGGTCCTCCCCCAGTAGGTGCTGAATGATCGTTCGCAGCCTCACAGTGCGTCCATTGTAATTTCCTGCTCCATTTCCGCCTACCATGGCTTCTCAGTTTTACATCCTCACTTTCCTCAGGTAGACAAGCTTTTAAAATTGCAAATCGGATCTTGTCACATCTCTGCCTAAAAATCCTTCAGGATAGTTGGGACTCGGGGGGCCCTGCATGCCGTGGCCGCTCGTCAGCCCTGTCCCACTCTCTCTGGCCTCCCAGCTCTAGTCACCCGGGCCTCCTTCCAGGTCTCCCCTCAGCCAGCCTCCCTGCTGCTTAGGAGACGACCCTCGGGGCTCCTCCTCCCCCCGCTGCGCCCTCCAACCTGCCACCCCCACTTCTCCACCCAGAGGTCGCCTGCTCAGGGAAGCCCTCTGGAGAGGCCAGTACAGTGCTCCCGCTTTCCATGTAAGCAAGTGTACTGTGACTTCATGTCCCCCTGCTGCTCTGCAAAGTCTGGGGTCCTGCCAGGCCTACCGCCCGAGTGCCCCCCAGGTCTGTGTTGACATGTGCCAGCACTCACTTGGCTGACCTTTGACCACTGAATGGCTGGGCTGGCCGTGCTTTCTCCTCTGGCTCCTAGTCAGGCTGGTAGCTGTCACGCAGGTCTGCTGGTCTGCTTGAGTTCTCACACTCCTCGTCCTGCAGGAGGCTCCCTGAATGCCCCCAGCCCGGCACTGCACAGAGGAGTGTCCTTAGATTGGATGCACCTTTGTAGGACCTTCAAGGCTTAGAAATCATAGGGGGTGGCTGCCCAGTTCTGCCAGCTCCCAGAAACCCCCTCAGTGGGAGCAATCCCAGCACCTACCGTGGGCCAGCCTCACGCATGTACAGCCAGCACTGTCACACAGAGCCCTGTGCTCAGAAGGGCTCCACACTTCGCTTATGTTCTGGGGTCACCACTTGGAAATTCTTAATATTTGAACCGGGTCCCCACGTTTTCATTTTGCATCGGGCCCTGCACGTCGTGTAGCTGGCCCTGTACTGCCTTGAAGGGACACTGTGAGGAGCCCTGAGAGAATGCGTGATCTGCATACCCCAGGGCCTGGCACACAGCGAGCCCTCTCCGCGGGGTCACCTGTCCTCATTCTAGCTCTGCTCAGCCACAACCACAGTCAGTAATTCATTCTTCTGTTTGCTCAGCTTCATTGACTAAGTGCTGTGGTCAGAGGCATTGATCAACTGCTTAAAACCCTCCTGCAGCTGCTCCTCATCCTCTCAGGACTCCCAGAGCTGGCCAGGCTTCAGAGTCACTGCTGGAGCTTGCTGAAAATAGATTTCCGGGCTGCACCCCAGGCCTACTGAACCAGACACCCCCCAGTTGGGGCCGTGCATCTGTATTGTTAGTAAGTCCCCCGGTGACTCTAATGCCTTCACCTGTACTATGGTGGGCAGAGCAGAGCTGGGACCCTCCATCCCAGGAGACAGAACCGAAACCTCTTGGTGTGACTATTTGGCGTCCTTACCAGTCTGAGCCCTTTCCTGCTTTGTTTCCGGTGTATACTAACCCCACACCATGGTACAGTGTTGGCTCTCCCTGAGTACCCAGGGAGCCCCTTTTACTCCTTTAACGCCTGTGTCCTCCTCTGAGAGGGTGTCGCTAGAAGCCACGTCCCCTTATCAGAACGAGGTGTGCTCACTCTGCGCCTGGGTCTTACTCTCTGAGCATGTCAGGCTGCCGGCGGCCTGTTGCTGTGCCCTTATCCCTCGTAGCCTGGTTGCTCTTTCACGTGGCTCACCTCCCCATCCTGAGGTGACAAGCACAGTGCAGATCCAGTACGTGCGTGTCAGGGCATCCAGTGGGCACATCTTCATGTGCTTGTGTCCACTGGTTCCCCCACAGCCTGGCCTACCATTGGTGCTCCGTGAAGCACCACTGCTGGGTCCAGCACAGGGCTGGTCGCGTGCCCAGGCATTTGCTGTCAGCCCTCACTGTGCAGCCAGGAAAACCAAATGCCCTTACAGCCGTTGGCGCTCATGTCGTCCTCAAGCGCCGGCTCACTCCTGGCTTTGGGGGAACAGACCTTGCTTAGAGAGCCTTCGCTCCCAGGAGTCTGTATGCATGGGAGTCATTCTAGGAGTCATCCATTTGCTGTCTGAAAAAGGCAACATGTAAACCGTAAAGCTTCCTTGGTGTGACAAATATGCCCTCCCTTGGTCTCTATCCTTTTGGCAACAACTGAGCATGGCCAAAGCTTGGGCAGTTGAGCTACTTCAAAGCAACCCCCAGTCATCCCAGTAAGAGGGCTTTTTATTGTTTCTTTTTTCCCCCAGACCTGTTGGGTTTTAAATATTTTTCTTATTATCTTAATCTTTTCCTCATTGGCTAAAGGCCCCTGAAGACCACACCGGATGGCTTACTTGCTTTGAGTGCTCGTGCTGTGCGTTTTCATGGCCAACACCTGTGCCATAAAAGGCGTCAATCAGAGGTGCTTTCCTGAGTTCCTACTGTGTGCTCCTGCCAGAGGGGGACTGTGCGGGCCTGGCAGTCCAGAGGAGGGTGCCGCTGCTTCTAAATGCTCATTAGTTTCCTGGGCTCCTGCGGACATAGTAATACCTGCTTCATTCTCTTCCCAGAGCGGTGGTCCCTGCGCTGTCGTCCTTGGTGGCCAGGCAGGACGGGTGTGGAAGCTGTTGGATGGATGACAGAACCAAGGCAATGGAACTGGGCTCCTGTGCGGAGCCTGAGCGTTCCAGCCCATCGGTGCATTTTGCCCAGTGGGCAGAGATCTGGACTCAATCAGTCCAGATTTAGAGGCTCCACAGACTAAATAGCCCGCCTCCATGGATCCTTGGCCTGCTGTTAAGCTTGGGAAATCCTTTCTTCATCTCAGATGTTTTTGCTGGTATGAAGAAGGTGGCTGCTGATGGCTGGAAACTTCTGAATTCTTGGGGGACTCAAGCTGGTGGCGGCGCCCTGCCCACTCCCTCTGCTCTGGGCCGTGGTGGGCGTCAGGTGCTGAGTCTTGGGGGATGCTCCGTGCACCCTGTAACCTCTAGTTTCTGCTCTCTCTCCTTCTCAGGCACATCTCTCTAACGCTCCCTGCTACCTTCCGAGGCCGGAACAGCACTCGGGCCGACTACGAGTACCAGCACTCCAATCTGTACGCCATATCAGGTACGTGGCCACAGTTGGTGGTCAGCTACTGTGTCTCTGTCCAGGCACCGCCTCCCTCTGCATTTGTCCTGGCCTCTAATGGCATCTTTCTTGCTTCTATTGTTTTCCCCATAAGGGGCCTGTTCTCTGCAGGGACTAGGCCTTCCCTTCCCTTCGTTTCACCGCAGCACTTAGAGAAGGGCCAAAGACTAAGCATGTTTTGAAATGAATGATGAAGAACAGTGTGTGGTTTTCACAAGCTTGAAGGTCGGTCCCCAGAGAACAGTCACTGCACTGTTCACCTGCCAGATCCAGGGCAGGTTTCCCACGGGCACTCAGGAGCAGCACAGAGCTGAGCCCCGGGCTGCTGGCCCTCCTGTATCCAGGTCTGTCCTCCCCTCTCATTTCCCAAAGCCAGGTTTGTGGCCAGAAGGCACACTGGCGGTCTCCCCGCCGAGCGCCCGTGGTGTGGTCTGTGATTTCTGAACTCGGCCTTGGAACTGATGGTGCTGCCTCGGCGGGAACATCGTCAGCCCTGGTTTCCTTTGCACCTTCTCCAGGGAGGGGAATGTGTATAAGCCTTATTACAGAACTGAGATTTGTTAGGTGCCTGGCAGTGCAGGTGACTTGCTAAGAGCCAAGGAAGCCCACAAACTCACCTCTGATTGTACTCGGCCTCCAGTCAGGGGTGTTTGTATATGAGGGGCAAGTGGCAAATCGTGCCACTTACCAGCGCACACCCTTAATGGTGAGTGACATTTTGAACACAGGAACATGGCATCCATTCATGTACCATAATGAATCGGTTATTTAAAAGGTAATCTTTCTTCTAAAAATTGCAGCTTCAGGTTACTAAATAGATGAACTAGAACAATGGTATAATTTATGTCAGGATTAGTTTTTCTTTTTATGATCACTCCCTAATAGGTTTGGAAGCATAAGCAAAAGCCAGTTGTTCCATTTCTGAGTGACACTGCTGGTGGGGAAAGGGAAGAATGGGGATTTCTTAAAGTCCTGGCCCTGGCCCTGCTCCAAGCACCAGGCTCCCAGAGGGTAGAGGGAGCACGTTGTCTAAGAAAAGCATCTCCAGGGAGAATTTCTTTTGTGCTGTGGCTATTTCAGCAAAGTCGACAAGGAGCATAACAAGTGTGGAAAGATGACCTATTTTGTAGGAAAACTGAATATTTCCCCAGATGCTTAGCAGCAGAGCGGTGCCGAAGAGGTCTGTGAAACCAGCAGGGTGACCCCATTCCAAGTGCACATAAGGAAAGCTCAGTCAAAGCAGATGACTTTTTTCCTCCAGCTTGTGGGTCTCTTTGCAGCCACGGTATTTGCTTTCCCCACCTTACCCGGGTTCTCTGATGGCTTTCCCAGCTGCTGACATTTCTGCAGAAAAGGGCCCACAGAGTGAAATCTCCTCTGGCTTGGCAGGAATGCTCCTGTCTGCCTCTGGACCACTGCTTCCTCACTCCACAGCTTTGATGAGGTGTTGTCTGGGTTCATTTCAGCTGTTAGTTTAGCAATACTGAGGTAACAGCCTCAAAACACAGGGGAAGCCATTCAGAAACTTCCTGTTACATTTACGTAAGTGGCAGTCAATTGGATTTTATCTTCCAAATGGAGGTAGTTGAAACTGCAGCCCATGGCAGCAGGCAGCACAGGCACCGAATTGCTCCGCCAGGGTCTAGGACTGCTTTGTTGTGATGCTGCCAGACACATCCCACAGGACCAGCTGGCTCCATAAGGCCTGCAAGCTCAGCACTGGGCAGCCATGGTGCAGCTGGGAAGCCTGCCCGCCCACCCACCAGCAGCCTGCCTGCAAGCCCTTCTGGCTGGAAGGGAGCTCCCCTCCTGCCCCATACGAGCAGGGTTTGGCACTGAGGGGCACATCACAGTCTGGTACTGCAAAGTTAAGATTTCAGTGGTTTGTTCCAGAAACAGGGCAAAGTGTGCCCAAGGCCCTAGCCGTTGCCCGGTACCCAATGCCGTGAGAGCTGGAGCTCTGCTGGTAATAAAATGAATCCTCAAACTGTTCTCCTTCTGAACCGACTCTGACATATTCACTGCAGACTTCAGGGGCTAAGCCTTGCATTCCTAAAAACATTTGATTACCACTCCCTTGGTTTGCAGGGCCTTCCTAAGTGGAGTTCCAAACAATGCAATTAGAAATTTGAAAAGCAGCACACATTTAATTTTATGTATGGTTATTAAAGTAATATTTACTTTTTTAAATATTTCCCCAAAGGTGTATCGATTAATAGATCCCCTGGCCTGTTCCTTCCACTGAGACAGCTCATCTCTGTCATACCTGCAAAGGGAGGGACACTGCTCAGCGTGGCAGGAGAACCCAGGGCAGACAGTACATAGCTCTGTCCCCAGCACACAGAGGTGCTCATGGAGGGGTCTGTGGAATGGAGGAAGGAAGGAAGGAAGGAAGACATTTAGCTCAGTGTCTGCTTTCTCAGGAACACCTCTGTGACCCCTGAGGCAGGTGATCCTGATTTGCTGCTCGAATGCCTCTAGCATCTGGGGCCATCACCTCCAGCCAGCCCATTCCATCTCTTCTCTTGTTCAGCTGGACTCTGTCTTTCTGTACATTCCTATCCATCCAACCATTTGGGGTACTGGGCATTCCACTGGCCAAAATGTGCAAACACTTCTACGGAATCCAGCCAGTAGTCTCTCTTGCCCACCGAGGTGGGGTGACGGACTTCTCCTGCCTTGGTGCCGAGATCTTGAGAAGCTTATGTTCCTTGCTCTGCCGTCTTCTATCCTGATCAAAATGGCCATGAAACACACCTTTGATCCCCACACTTCCTCTTCTAGGAAGTTCTTCTAGAAAATGCTTGCAGATGCCCAAAAAGATTTATCCACAAGGCTGAGCACTGCTGCTTTTTAAAAATTATACTCCAGGAAAGGGGTTAGGGGTCAGATATCCTAAATGTCAAAACAGTAAACAGTTAACTTTTCAGGAATCAAAAAATGGTGATTGAGATAAAAAGAGGTGGGTTAATATTGTCAAGTGACAAACAATGTGCAATATGATCTCATTTTTAAAAATATTTCTGAAGGTCTGGAAAGGTGCACACTAGGTTTTTATAGTGGTTTTCACAGGACTTCCCTGCTCTTTTTCCCTTCTTTGCCTTATCTCAGTTTTCCATGGTAGTATACGTTGCTTTTTTAATAAGAAAAACAGTCTAGACCTGCTGTGGACTCGGTGTGTCCTCGGGAAGCCTTGTGGGTCCCCAGCAGCCACCTTGTCCCTCCTGCCTGCTCTCAGGCCTCCTCACTCAGTGTGCTTTCAGGTGCTGCTAGAAATTGCAGCAGGTCAGTACAATTTTTATTTTATTTTATTTTATCTCAAAATTTTATTTTGAGAATTTTTTTTTCTGTTGTTCAGTCCCTGCAGCCTCCTGTCCACTGAGGTTCCTCAAAGACCACTACCCACAGTTCCAACCCCATCTTTCACATTCCGCTGGCCCTGTAGCCACGGACTGAGCGTGGAAGCGCGTGGCTGCCTGAGCCGCCTGCTCACCTCCTTTGCTCCTCACGTCCCCCATCACCGTGCTCTACTCTTGAGGGTTTGAGGATGGCTTTCCTGGAAAGAAGATGTAGAAGTACAGCAGCGGGTGCTTGGTTTGTCTCACTCTGTCATCTGCGTATATTAGGGCCGGCAAGCCGCTTCTGAAGTTGTTCTGACTTTTGATAACTGGCAGCTCACGGGCTGTGCTTTACTGGCGATGTTCTAGCTGCTGCTTCCCCCTCAGAGACGTGCCTTCAAGATCTTTCCTGCCACGAGAGCTGTCTACAGGGCCTTGTTGGTTTCTCTAGATTCTACCCCAAACCTGCCTCCTCAGCTTCCTCATCAGGCCCCTCAGTGGTTGGTAATTCTCTTTTTAAGAATCCCTTCTCTTTCCTGAAAAGTTATCTATTTTAGTCCCAAATGATAGCCTCCTACCTTTTTTTTTCTTGGACATTTTTAGATGTTTTTAGATGTCTGACCATTCATTCATTTCTATTTCAACTATTCCAGAAAGATTTAAGGTGGTTCCAAAAATACATATAAGGACATGGAAACAGACGTGACAATGTAAGGTGGAAGAGCAGGGGAACAGCCGAGGGCGAGGTTCTGCCCGAAGGGGTTGCTGGGCTGGGTCCTGAGTCAGGACCGTCTCTGTGTGGGTAACACGAGAACGAGCCAGCTGCCGAGGGGGAGCCTAACAGTCCCCTGTACTGAATTCTTCCTCCTAAACAGGGCCCTGGAAAGCAACAGAACAGCTGCTTTTCTTGAGCTTGATAAGGATGGCCTGTATGCACAGGTATTGGGGGGTCCACTCATATTTGAACCCCTGCAATGTTTGGAAGTTGAGTGAGATGATTCTTAAGAAATATTCTTGTGCTGGAAGTCATGTGCCTTAGGGAGGGAGAAACCAGGGGACTGGAAAGAGAGGCTCCCCCCATCCTCTCCCACCTGAAGGACACACCTGTGTGCCAGAGGCTTCCGGTGCAGAGTGGCCTAGCCAACAGGGACCCAGGATGGCGTTTTCTACGCAAGGAATGTCCCCTTGTCAGTCTCCTGGCGGGTTTTAGTTAATGAGCAGTTGACAATATGGAAGGGCAGCCACACCGTGCTTTCCCTTTGTTTGTGTTGTTATAAACTGATTTCTGTCTCCAAGTGGAGACTTTTTACCAAAGAAAACTTAATTTTCTTCCTTTTGAATAAATTGATGTAATAGTGTGAAATAGTTAAAATTAAGCCAGTGCATAGTAAAGCTGGCACGTAATAAAACCAAAAATCTTCAACAACCAATGAATTCAGGTCGAGCCACCATGCAGAAAACCCCAGAGCCCCACAGTGTGGGGGGCCGTGGGCCTAGGTCTCCTTCCCTTTCAGCGCGCAGGCAGGTTGCCCTCCTGACATCTTCATTCATCCGTCAGCTTTAGGCTGACCATATGATTTGCTGCCTACTGCCACTTCTGAGAGTGAGAGGGGTGTACAGTTGTACCAGCCCAAAAGCTGG